ACCAAACTAACTTTGATTTATTTAGAAAGAAAAAAAGAGCTGAAGTGAAGCCGGTTTGCTTTTTTTCTGCTCCAACTTCCTTTTCGGTACATTCAAAATGATAAATATCCTGTTATAAAGCTGYAGGGCCATATTTAGTTCACTGCAAAAGGATCCTTCTTTTGCAATAAGCATGACAAAATACAGAGAGGAACACAAAACAGCATAATTCTGTATTTTCTATTGCAAAAACTCACAAGAAATGTTAGAAGGAAGAAAATCCTGTGAATTTTCAGGGCCCAGAGCAAGGGTCTTCATAGTCTCATAGGACAAGGGATTAGCTGTGCTTTTGTCAGGTCAATTTTAATGTCTGTCACAGAAAAACAAGGGTAGACTGTTTATTATCCTCTTGTCTGTGTGTGTCCATGTGTCTTACCAAAATATCTACCACTGCACAGATTTTAATGACACTTGCAGAAAGTCATCATTGGCTGTATCTGGCTCGACTTTTACAATCAACCAATTCAAGGTGGCTGCCAAAGCCAGCTGATCTTAAAACCAAGAAAAACACAATTCTAACCTCAACTACAAGAAGCATATTAAAAAAATGACACAAACTGTTAGACTTGGTCAATTTTAGACATGTTAGATCTTGTTTGTCATTGGAAGCGGCTAAGATACTCATGCACGCACTCATTTTTTCCACACATTTCATATTGCAATTTCATGTTGGGGACAAACCAATGTGTCAGTACTAAAACCTGTAGAGTCTTGTTACAAACAGGCCCTCAAAATATAGGACAACAAGCCCTTAAGGTACCATTATTGTTGGATTATGCAGAAATATAACATGTTTCTTTTGAGAATTTGAGTTTTTTTTTCAAATATGTAAACAGTATATAAAGTTTTAAACGGTTTAGCGTCAATCTGTTTGCAAAAATGTGTTTATTATCATTCAGCCATTTCTTTGCGCATAACTAGAACATCCAGGCAGAACTGTGAAGTTCCTGCTCGACGCTCAGCCTTTGAACAAGCAGCTTTTTCAGTTAAATCCATCGCTCAGTGGAACGCTGCTCCCGATCATGTAAAAAACTAGTTCTTTTATTACATCATGTTCTGTATCCTGGATGAGTCTCTGGTTGTGATGACGATATTTTTTGTGGGTTTTTGTGATATGAATGTGGTCATTCTGTTATGTATTATGTGTGGAGTGTCTTATAAGCCCATGAGGGCTGGGCTCCGGAAGCGGCATGACACTTAAATAAATAAAAAATCAATCAATCAAAAATATTAGTTTTAAAAATAATCTTTAAAAGTATCTTAAATCTACCCAATGTTGCAATCACTGAATTGCACTGGGTAATCAATTTTAGAGTTGTTTCTGGTTGTGTGGGTTGGAGGGTGGGAGGTGGGCATGATTTTATGTTTGGAGAGTGGGGTGGGGTGTTTATGAATTTTTTAACTGCAAAATGGTTTAT